ACGACCCTTAATCAAAAAAGTCTTTAGATAAACATTGTAGATCAAATAATGCTGCACATCTTTTATTTGAAATATTTTTTTGTAAAATCAATAGGTACCAAGTAATCACCAATGGCGCACTTTCAACCCCTATAGCGCAAAACGCCAGAGGGGTGAATGTGTGATATCTTCGGTTTTATGATCACCCACCCACCCGCCCCCTATCATCCCTTGAAAGTTCATTTGGGTAGGAATTTTTTTTTTTGCAATGAATGTATTTTTCGACTATTTTCCTAGACTACTGTTTGAATTCCTGGAAAACAAACTACTTAAAAAAAAATACCCGATAATAATAAAAAATGCCTCCTTTTGGAGATAAGAAAAATGCTGACTGGTCATAATTGAGGGTTATCACTGTCTAAGTCGGGGGTTATCAAAAATGTCTAAATAGATATTTCCCCTGGAGGATTCTTTTATTTTCCGAAACTGACCAAGTATTTGAACTTTGCTTTGATAGATTTTGCGTCACTGTATCATATATCGATGACGTTTTACCACCTGGGTCTACTGTAAGGAAATGAATTGGGTCTTTTTAATATCTTACTCTCGCGCTGTCACATAATTGCGAAATGTATATTATCTATACAAAAAATTACGCCGTCATTGCCTTGAGTACGTCTTATCAGAATATTTGTTTTTATTTTCGTTTACCCAGTAAAAGTTTTGAAAAAGTTTCGATAATTCGGAATATCCTATTTGTAATTGATTTTCCAGTTGTTCTACGTAATAAATAATATTTTCACGAGCAAAAACCCGTTTAAGAATGATAATATTTTTGCACAGAACAGTGACTAGTTTTTAATATAAGATTTTCCGGAAATTTACCTCAAAATAATCGGAATGGACTGTATGAGGTTGCTGAACTGTTAATTACGGCCTATAAAGCATACCTGATTAAAACTGGCTAGGCGTAGAAAGAAAATATATCGAGAATGTGAGAAAATATAATAAGGAAAACAAATTTATATGAAAAATGTCGAGAGAAAAACAACATAACAGAGATTTAAAATCGATGTCATTAATTCAATTGCCCCGACGCTTCCATTCTTTAAAGGATAAGATATTAGTTCAATAAGAAATTGACTTTTATTTTATAATAATTTTTCCCGTATTTCAATTCTTATTAGTCTTTTCTAATTACTTTAGCCAACTGATGTTGACAATTGATGAGCTAAACAAATTATATTGTTCTGTCGCTAGCAATCTCACTAGCAACCTGAAATCTAACGTTGCTTCCCTGGGTTACTTAGAAAACTGACCAGGTGCACGATTCCTCAACGGTTTTACCAACAGTTCTACAAGAAATAAGAACTGATTTTAAAACAATAAATAATCAAACTGCTGCTGGCTCAGAAGATACTTCGCGTAAATACATTATAATTTTTACTCTGAGGCAAGTGACACACTAGAGAAATAAGTTTCATAAAACTTGTTGAGAAAAACAGGAAATTTGTTTCATTATCACACAACACATAGGCCGGTGACACACTACTACACGACACATACATTTAAATGAGGCGTCGCACACTGGCGAAACAATTTCTGCGTCGTGTGATAATGAAACAAATTTCCTGTTTCTTTCAACAAGTTTCATGAAACTTATTTCTCCGGTGTGTCACCCGCCATACATTCGAATGAGGCGGAGCACACTGACGTTTATGAAACAGGATAGCAGAAATTGTTGCGTCAGTGTGCTCTACCTCATTCGAACACATCAAGAAACCGTACGATATATACTGTCACGATTCTGGGCAAAGCCAAAAATTTGTGCGTAGTGATTTCGAAACCGTTCATATGGGACGGTTTTCAACGTGTTGGAACAAACCTAAGGCGGGTGACACACTGGAGAAATAAATTTCATGAAACTTGTTGAAAGAAACAGGAAATTTCTGGTACAACATTCCTACCACACTTATCTACCACTAAGTTCAGAAGTGGTTGGCGGTGGAAAAAGATGTGACTCAATGGGGATGGAAGAAGGCAGCTCTCAGGCTCATTCCAACAACAATGATGAGCGAAGTGGCACCCCCATCCCTTCTAGAATGTCTATCATGCGAGTGTAAGAAAAAGGCTGTGACGAGGGTGGCTGTACCTACTTGCCCCGCAAGCAGCCTCAAATGTTCGGCACAAATTTTGCTCCGGCGTCTCTTGTCAAAACGTCGCAGTGATCCAGATTGCCGAAGGAGGAGAAGACGCCGTCGAGGATCCACTACCTATTTTTCAAGCAGAATCGGATGATTTCGAACCACCCACGAAGCCGGCAAAATAAACTATGTATTCGAACCCAAAAATCTCTCAATACTATCTTTTGCACTCTTGCATACATAATATATCAATAAATAAAAATGTTGATTAATTACATTGTAAATATATTTCTTGTGGATGTGCAAATTTAATCTACTTTATAGTAAATAACATGTTTCATGAAAAAACATATAGTTGCAGATATAGTGGAAAAACCACAACAAGTGAAGGTCTTCCAACGTTGCAAACTTGGATATACACCACTGGTGGTGATCCTAACAACATACTAAAAAATCAGAACTAGCCGTTAGTTTGCGGTTTTATCGATTTCTCGTGTACTATATGACTGGTCTATGACCCTCATCATACCCAACAGGTCGCTAACTTTTGTGAATAATTATTTATCATCTAAAAACACAGTTTTTTCGAGATTTTGACAAGCTGCCATATCAACGGAGGTAACAGAGAAGATACTTCAGTCTTAGCAGTTTTAATAAGGGCCAAAGACTTTCGAAATTACGTATCACTTCACGTTCACCCCCTTTCAAATTTAAGATTTTTTAGGGGGTCGCTAGTTCAAAGAGTCCCCTCTCCCGGTGGATTTTTCATGAAAAAATTTCCACCTTCAAATTATAGTTGACTTTGGGGATTTTTTCCACAATACTACTGAGATAATAATAGGGGTGAGAAGTTATCAAATTGACACCTTGTATATTTGAATTATCTCATTTTGGAGGATTTTTTGTCTGTATTATGTTTACTAGACTGACTGAGCAAAATTTATGCTATCAGTGATAAGGAGCGAAAAAAGCTTAGTCATTTATTTTAAGAAACAAATTTTAACATTTCAGTTCCGATAAGACATGACCCCATGGGTTATTTGTATTATATTTTACGGCAGTTCCGAATGGTTAATCAGGTTGTGAACATTAATGAAATACTTAATTAATTAAAGTTTTCAGGAAAAATAACTTGGCAACACGACGAGTTGTTTGCTTCACTTGATACTTAACTTATCTTATTTTTGATAACGAACATTTTAATTTGTCTGCTATCGTCACTCTATTTTTTATCTACGTAAATCTTTTTAGCATCTTCTGAAAAATGGGAGTAAAATGTGCCAAGAAAACTAGTATTGTTAACAACTATGTCACGCGCGTAACAGTTTAAGTTTACATTGTGTTTAGTATCAGTGTTTCCAAGTTTTCCGAGTGTTTTTTTCTATCAAACCTGGAGGATTCTGAAATATTTTATTGCTGACTATTGCTTCTACAAACTATTGAAAGTGTGGACGTTTTTACCCAATATATTTTGATGGAAGTGATGCATCCACAAGTTTTGAAAAGCAACGAATTAGGAGTTTTCTCTCTCTGCTCTCTCTTCCTTTACTTCTTGAAAATCATGTGTTGTTTCTGGTGTCTTTGTTGTTGTGGTGGCTGTAAAATTTGAAGAAAATGCCCATTAACCTTTGCATTCGTGACATTCACAAGGATAGTAGGATTTATCATCCTACCAACTACGCGATCATGCGTCCCGTAGATATGAATTATTATCTAGGTTTGTAAATCTTAATTCCATACTATTGAAAAAAATTTAAATTGTCAAAATAATATGTATTAGTCATCAATAAGACCTAAACCGTATTTTATTAAATATAATCTATATGGGATGTTTATAATAATATGCGAAGTCTGGAATAGTCAGCATAAAAATGAATTTGGAGATTGTCGCCATGTAAAAAATTATTACAAACAAAAAGGAATTAGATATTCGTGACTGTTATAATAGCTTTGCAATTTAAATATAAGGTAATGCCCTGCTTGATTTGACTCACTGGGTCGAATCAGATCGAAAATGGAGAGTGAAAAGTTTGACTATTGTCCTCGGTTTTCGATTTTTTTTTTCCCCTTATTCATTTATTTTTCGTCGGCCTATTTCATTGCACTGATAAGTTGATGTGCCCTGATATCCCTGCTATCCATTAACAATATTTAATTATTGGTAATGATCTGTTAAGAGCAGGGCAAAATACTTGAACAAATCATATCCTGAACAAAAGTTCTCAAAAGGATTTAAACAGTATAGTCACTTTAGTTGCTAGAAAAATATAAGATAAAATAATAAGTTTTAGGCTCTAGTTTTTCTTACTACCCTTTGCTTTTTTCCACTCAAGAGAATGTAGTATTTATTTTAAAGGCAAAGTGGACATAATTTAATTACAGCAAAAAATACATTTAAATTATTGGCCTTTTTTGTGACTAAAACTGGATTCCCAAAAATATTCTGTTAAAGTGGATGCTTCACCCTTAACGGAAATTATTGTAAAAACATTATGATTACTGGATTCTGAATTCTTTTAGCATTGGAGCATTAGTGCCGTTTGTAATACATCTTCAAATTCTAAGAATCTGTTGCTACGACTTATGCACACTGACAATGCTTTCTACACTACTTTGTTGTAACTAATAAATACATACATTGAATGAAAAAATCTCCTCATTAACAGGATGATGTTTTTTTTCTACGTCTATTACATACATCCATATTACTTCCCATTTCTTTACAAGTCATGAAAAGAGGCTATTTATCGGGTCCAATGAATCTATTGGAAGATGTGAAAAAATGGTCTAACGCATCATGTACTATTTTATGGATTTCAACCTACCTATTTAGATAAATTGAAACTAAAAACTGAATAATATTTTTATTTCTTTCAGGGATGTACACGATGCGGATGCTGGAAAGCAACAATGCTGTGAGCAATTTGAGTATGAACAGCACAGGAAGTACAACAGTAATGTCCAGACACGATATGGACCGCGTGGATACATCTAGTGATAGCGCTGTCAGCTCAATGGGCTCCGAAAGGGTCCCATCCCTCTCCGATGGAGAATGGTGCGATGCCGGTTCCGACTCTGGACACACAACCCAATCACAGGATTATCAAAACAAATACCGCCCGTTTGGTTACAGCTACCCTAATAGATTGTCAGAAAATGCTCGTATGCCTCCGGTACCCCAAAAAAAGCATTTGATGTATGGAAAAAGATTCCATTCTTCTGGATTTTCTGAATACAGAGACACTACTGCTAATTCGTTCCAACCACAAAACGTAAACCGAGAAAAAGTACCAGAAATCAAGTACTCCTGCTCTGCAGAATTCACCCATTTGCCTAGAACCCCAGAGAGTCATGTTCAACATAACCATAGCTATCACTTGCCTGCTGAAAATTCCGGTGTCATGCAAAGACCAGTTTCCAGAGATAAGGGCAAATCACGCAAATCAGAAGAATCAGAACATTTGACTCGAGACGAAAAACGTGCGAGAGCATTAAACATTCCCATTACTGTTGATGACATTATTAATCTTCCCATGGACGAATTCAACGAACGACTTTCCAAATATGACCTTAGCGAGGCTCAGCTTAGCCTCATTAGAGATATTAGGAGAAGGGGCAAAAACAAGGTTGCTGCACAAAATTGCAGAAAAAGAAAATTGGACCAAATTCTCAGTTTAGCCGATGAAGTCAAGGAGATGAGAGATAGAAAAATTGCCCTTCTTAATGAACATAAATATTCTATTGCTGAGATGAAACGTATGAAGGATAAATATCAACAACTGTATAGACACGTCTTTCAGGTAATTACAATAAATAGCTTGTAAAAAAAATTGTGGTTACATATTGGCTATCTGAAAAGTAGCTTCATTTTTTAGATTTTTTGAAGCAATTGATACAGACTTCGGTATATTTAAAACCATGATTAATTTAAGTTTTTATCAGATTTCGTAACCAATAACCAAAGATCACGCTGGTGGTACTTTTGCTCTCGAGTCTCGGTTGACGAATTTGATTATTAAAGTGCTTCAAATGTCAATAAAGTCATTGGCATATCCATAACACTGATTATCAATTGATTGGCTTATTCAATTTTTTAACTGAGAGCAAAGGTAACGACTAAAATTATTTTATGAGCATATTATATTTTTCTTGCAAACATTCTGATTACATATTTGAAAATGTAGTTATGTGTCTCTAAAACAAAAGCTAATAAGTACTTTTGTATAGCAGTAACTACACATATTGAAATGTTATATATTGTACAGTGTACCCCATAAGTTTCGCTCACTGATCTCAAAAATAAATGGATAAACAAAGAACGCTTCTAATGCTGCTAATTTACGAGGTCAAAATCTAAACAAAAACAACTGACTGGGACAGCTGTGAGCGTGCGCAGTAGATACATGTATTGTGTGTGCACAAAATCTGGCCAATGAAAATGAAGGAATTTCAAAATTTAGAACAGTTGTTCGGAAGATAAGACACTGCGCAGGCGTGAAGCTGTTCCGTTGCACAACTGTCCGTAGAATATTGACCCCAAATTTTCGCACAAATTTTGTCAATCAAGCCGTATGAATTGTTTATCCATTTATTTTTTAGATCAGTGGTTTCGCTACATATGGGATTTTTTTTATTTGTAGGATATGTAATTTTTTCTTATGTGCGATCGATCCTGCTCAATAACCTAAAAGAAATTTTTTGACATTGGTCACGTGATCATAATTGTGGCGGCAAATTCAAAAATTTAGATTGGAAACGCGAAAAGTGGGGTTTGATGGCAAAATATCGGAAAAAATTATTTGGAAAAAGTGATTAGAACGATGTTTTAGGGCTGTCTGCGAAATTTGGATCCAAGGCAACAAAAAATAGGAAATTACTTATTGTTTGCTCATGAATCAAATTATATTATACAGTTTTCATTATTGGAATAGTGCATGTACCTCGATATTTAATTTGTATTGGTGAAGCCAAGTTAAATTCTTCATTGGAATCATTCCTGGAGAATTAAATTGAAATATTCGACTAGCACATGGAACTTTTCTCTAGCAATGCCCCGTATCTTAACAGTTTGTGAGATTTCCAATAATTCACTATTGATACAACAATTGGAAAGAACCGGTATTGAGATTTTTTTATTAAATATTCCAATACAGTTCTAAAACACGTTACTCAAGATACAGGGTATTGCTACAGAAAAGTTTCATGTGCTATTCGAATATTTTTATTTAATTCTCTAGGAATGATTCCATTAAAGAGTTTAAATTTGTTTTACCAATACACATTAAATATTGAGGTACTTGGACTATTTCAATAGTAAAAACTGTATAATATTAGTTGATAAGAGATCCATGGCGCAAAACACGTAATTTCCTATTTTTTGTTGCTTTTGCTCCAAATTTTGCAAACAGCCCTAAAACATCGTTCTTATCACTTTTTCCAAATAACTTTTTCCGATATTTTGCCATCTAACCCCACTTTTCGCGTTTCCATATCTACATTTTTGAATTTGCCGCCACAACAGTGATCACGTGACCAATGTCAAAAAAATGTACTTTTAGGTTATTGGGCATGCAGGATCGATCATATAAGAAAAAATTACATATCCTACAAATTAAAAAAAATCGCAAATCAACTATACATGATTTTCAACGGCTATCGGAATTATTCAAATTTTACCTTATCTATATCCATACCGCATATAAGAAACAATCGCATATTTGGGAAGAACAAGTGCATTTTATTTCAGTTTTGAAGTCAAAAATGTTTGACTACTTGACACAAAACCGAAAATCGCCAAAAAAGTTTTTTTCTATGATCTAAATTCTAAATATTTGGAAGAGATATCGCCCCTGTAGAGCAAGAAGGACCATGTGCCAAATACAAGATTGTTGAGAAAACCAAGAAAACCTCGAATAAAATTTCAATTTTGAAAATTATTATTTATTTGCAATTAGTTGTACTTTTCCTGTCTACATGAGTTTATGTACGTGCCGCTTGTCACCTTTTTACACAACGTCAGTTGGGGTATGAAGATGGTATAGCGGTTATCTCAATTGTCGCTTGGCCCCTTTTTGCTCTACAGAGGCGATATGTAAAAATAGATGTTTCCACTTTTCCCGACTCTACACAATGGCATTATTTGATTCGAAATCAGCCATTAGAGCTACTATATCATCAATTTATTTTTTTCAAAAACGACCCGGAAAATTTTATTTTGTCATCTCTGGGTCTCCCAAAATGAATCATGACAGGAACTTATTAAAAAATCAATTCAGAAGGATCTAACAGAATGAAGAATCGAATTTCAAATGTAATACTGCTAAAAGATGAGAAAAAGTATGTAATGACTCAATGACGAAGTGAAATTAGCTTAAAAAAATATTTTTAAGTATAGGAGCCAAAAAAAAAAATGCATCTTTTTGACAAAGGTAGACACCTTTGCGTAACACATTATTCTCATGAAAAGTACCTACCCTTAATAAAAGGCTAATTGATGCGTGTAATAAGATCATTTGGCTTTGGAAGGTCCACCAGTAATTGAATATAGGCAGATACTCGATTTACAAACATTTGACACTTAATGTTAAACGGTGGCGATTTTTGCCAATCAACAAAGCTTATTGGAGCTGCTATTCAATTCCATAGGTATCTGAGCAAAGCAAAACAAAATAAACTCTTCGCGAATTTTATCCAGACTAAGTATTCGAATCAACGACTTTATTGGACTTTTAGTATTTAATTTTAGTTTCTACTGAATATGTATATAGCTTTTATAATAATTGTTCATGTTTTTTTTAGAATTTACGTGACCCTGATGGTAACCAGTACTCGCCATACCAATACAGCCTCCAAACAGCAGCAGATGGATCAATTTTGATGGTAAGGCGATCAAACAGCACCATGAGCACCAACGAACGAAAAGAGCCACCACAAAAAGACTAAAAAGAAAACGTTAAATTTAGTACATCGCTTAGATTTCTTAAGAAAAAAAATTCGTAACAGTAAATTTTCTGGATATCTGCTTTTTTGGGAATTTATTAAACAGAGACTATAGACCGCTGAGGCATAATTGTATAAAAAGAATTATCGTTGGGTTTGTTCATAGATTTTTGGGTATTTGATTTTTATTAGGGATTCTCTCAAAACTCAGGCATGATTGTACTAAAATAATTAACTTTTCAAGCACGATTGTCAAGCTTGCAGTCAGTTACGTGTGTAGTGACCATAATGGGTACATTCAGGCCATGCCAAATACTTAGTTCCGCCAACCAGGACTTGTTTCAATTAGCGCCTCCGATTGTTTGGAATGTGTGGGTGATTAACAGGCCATCAAAAATCACAAAAATTGTAGACCGAACCTCATTGATTTTATCGTTTAGTACAATTGATTATACTATAGTATACAAATTTCGAGGTTTGTTTCTTAATACAGACAGGACCAGGGTACTAGTAACATAGGCTGCAATGGGACCAGTTGACTGATACCCATTTCACTGTAGAAACGTCATGGTAGATCATTGATCGTCCCTGCGTGTATTTAAATTTAAAAAAAAAAATTTAAAAAAAAAAAACAGCGCCACCTCGATTCGCCTAAACTGATTACTTAAACAAGCCTATGTGTCTTGTAGCTTGGTCCGGTATGTAGGTAGAAACGCAACAAGTTATCACATGCTGTCGAACAACTTTTAAGCAGCGCTCTATTCAGCTTGGCTTCTCACTAAGCAGTCTTCGCCGCTGAGACTTTCTGAATATACCCATTATGTCACTGTTGGCCACTTATACTATAAATTTTTATAAAACTTCATATACAAATTTTTAGGAACGTGCCCTGCGATGTTAAAATTGAATTGGTTAGATAATTCCAATCACCATTGCTGTTACAAAAAAAAAAGCATTTATTTTCTTGTATTTTTTTTAAGTCGAAAGATGCAAAATGATATATTTTTATATAAACAAAATCAGGTGATTTGAAATGCCTTTTCGTAAAATTTGTAAATATATTGATTAAGTATAAATAACTAAACGGTGTGGTTGACTGAAATATGCTTTTAGGTGCAATAATGCATTATCAATAATTGTCCACTTTTCTATGTAATTTCTACATGATATAGAAGGTATGCTCACGCTCTGAAGGTAAACGCATCGCCAATGGGAGTCTGTCTCCACTTCTGCCATCCGAACACCTTTACACCTGTTTGGCGACAAATTACGATTATTACACATTATCGTTTAGTAGGTATATTGTATTTGCTCTAGATAATTTGGAGATAAAAAAAATAGTATGGTGGCATTTGGAGGATGCGCAAACTCATACCAAGCTCTTCACTCATCTGAGTATACTTTATATAAGTATTTTATACTTTTTTATTTTGGACATTTGAGTACGCATAAACATCATAAGTATCGTAAAAGATACTTATATTGATTTTAAATTAAAGGAGGCTTAAAACATTGTGTAGTTGAAAAAACTGGCAAAAGTTACTTTCAATAAATCTGCATATTGGCATGTCCTTTTATATGGTCATGTCATACTAAAGGTTGATTCAAAAGCACTCCAGTTTCAAACTTCATGCCATTTTTTTTTGTTGTTTCTTGGTTACCATCACTTTTTGTTATAAGGTGGTCATCTGTTGACCTTCCGATTTCATTCTGTTTGTAGTGTTACTCATTGAAGCATGCTTTTTGAGTCACCCTTTATGACAGTGGCGTGCAATGAAATAATTTGTGTCTCAATAATGAAGATTTAAAAAAATATCTATTGCACATGGTATCAATCCTTCCATATCACGTCACTATATGAAAAGTTAATTTTCTTTTCGGCCTTCTCGATAAACTTTCTTTCTAGTTTATGGCGAAGCTCGCCATAACAACCTAGGCCGGCTATATTATATTATGTATGTATAAGTTTAGTATATAGTTTATTGTGTAAAATGTGGATTGGTGGAATAAATTTAAGCAGCCTTGTGATTTTCAAAAACCTGTCGGAATGGACAGTTTCGTTCACCCTAAAATGAAAAACCGTACTTTATGAAAATAAATTAATATGAAATATTAATTAATTTTTGCAGAATCAGTAGATTAATTTTTATGAAAAACTTAGTTTTTGTATATTGTAATTGTAGACCTATATTATCTAGTTAAACCACCAACACTATTGTGTCTAAACACTGGAAAAAGATAAATCTTGCATTTTATTTGAAAAGAAAAAATGAAAAATCAATGAAGTCACAAATAATATACAATAGCAAAATAATAGCTTGATGGAAGGTTTAACTACATATATATGTATATGAAATTAACTTGTGAATGTCTATAGAATAGTTATTGGGATTGTTAGCTTACAAGGCAATGGTTTTTTTGGGCAATCTGTGTAATTGCTTAATATTACGACATATTTGTAATGCTTTTAGTATCATACTTTTACTATATAGATAGTCACCTAACGTAAACTTGACATAGTTTTTATGCTTCGTAATCATTCTGGATAACCAATACTTGGCAAATTTGGCACCGATATATGAATTGTTCTTAATTTTCGGTTTTATTTCTACTATTTTTTTTTATTCGGTACCAAAACGCACAGCGATCTCTTATTATATTATATACATTTTTTTTTTGGGAAAAAATATTTTTATTTTGAGCAAAATTTCTGAAGATTGCTTAGGGTAGGTTTATTTTCATCAACTTATGTTTTGTATATAAAATTCAAAAAATATAGAAATTTAAAACATATTATTATACCACCATTTTTATTTCTGATATGTTTTACCCAAGCATTTCCTGCAAATTGATTGTATTGTTACTTATATAGCTACAAGTTGCGTCTTGACTTGATTGCATCATTGTTCATAAAATTATATCACCCCAACTCTTGTCCGACTGAGCGTTCAACAAACTATATCAACTGACACGCACTCACTTCTTTTATATACACTTGGAGCCCTTTGTTAACTGCAAGAATCTCAATAATTCTGTTTGTTAAATAGTCATCATGGACATTTCTGTTGAACTCAGGCTTAAGACCATCCTTTTAGTTATTTTCTTATTTTGAGTTCTAGGCGACTTCAAATGTTTGAGAGGACATGCCTAGGAGACCCATTTATATGGTTAAATGAAAGTCGGTTCTTACTGTATATGACCGCCGTGTGTCAAGTATCATTTTCCCTTTTTCATGGTGTAGGAAAAACTCATTTTTGGCGAAATCATGAACTATATTTTATCAACTATTCTGATTTTCTCTCTGAGTTTGGCCACATTAACTGGGAATACACAATACAGCCTCGTTTTCATAAGATGATGGTCTGTCGCACATCAGATTTAATGAAAGTTTCATTTATTTTTCAGACAACAGCAATCAGCATTGATGGTGGATTAATACTAAGCGTTTCTCTAAAGCAAGACGAAAAGAGGCACCATTGGATCCCAGATTCGCGGTTGTTCAATTAAAAAACATCGCGAGTTATTGATTCATAACATCCGATTGTGGTTCTCAGCCATTCCTTTCGCTTAGGCAACTATAGGTGCTTTATTGATTGGTTGCTTTAACTACTTCTGCCTAGTTTCAAAAATAGTCAATGGCAAACCTAAGGGACCTTTTCCCCTTTCTGGTGGTAGGAAAAGGACCTATATCAAGTGCAATTCTCTCCCAAAGTCAATCAGAAATGTTTTGCGCCATCTTCCTCCGAGTGGGAAGATTAACATCAAATTTAATATTGATCAACGGATATTCACTATTAAGAGGAATCCGCAGCACGCCGCATTTACAAAATTCTCTCTCAACGGTGATGCACTGCGAATTTGACTTGAAATTTGATGAAAATCTGCGGTTTCATTAAAAAAAAAAAACTTCAAAGAAAAAAAGTTTCGAATATAAAAGATGTTCAAAATCATTCACACGTTATTGGAAAGTTAATACATATTTTGTTGCTAAATCTTATAATAACCCAGACTTTCCAATATTCTTTGATCAATTTAGATATCATTAGGGAGTTGTTGAAGAAACAAAATACCCCCTCTTCTTCTTCTTTCTATTTTTCCAAAATGTCTTTTTAAAACTAGAGTCCTTCATTCAGCAGAAACATCTAGAAATATGGAATAAAGCCTTTTTCCTCTCTTTATTCTATGCTCATCAAATTCTTCAGGGTTCGAGTTTATGACCCTCCAGGCAAGTTTTCTAAAATTCGTTCCAGCAAAAACCCTTTTCCTGGAGAATTAGTGCAATTTATTGCCACAGAATCCATTTTCGATATATGGTTTACTCAAGAAAAAAATAAAACCGAAGATTTCACACATGCACCCATTTGGAATTGCGCCATTGGCGATTACTTGGTACCCTATTGATTTTACAAAAAAATGTTCCAAATAAAAGATGTGCAACATTTTGATCTACACTGTAGTACTCTGTTCGAGATTTAAAAAAAAAATTGTCACGTTCAAATTTGAAAGGATTCTTGTTCGAGGGATGCTTTATCATCCTTCAAAAGAAAAATTCCTTGCCAGCCGTCAAACTTACGAAAATCATCCCTCGTATAAAAAAATATTGAAAATTTCATATTTTCTTATTTTTTCTTCGGACACCTAGATGGTGTTTCACGTTCAAATTTGAAAATATGCTTGTTCAAGGGATGCTTTATCATCCCTCAAAAGGAAATTTCCTTGCCAGCCGTCAAACTTAGGAAAATCATCCCTCGTGTGAAAAAATATTGAAAATTTCATATTTTCTATTTTTTTCTATTTCATTTTATTCACCTTAGATTTACAATGTAAATGTGGCTTTGTCACAATATTGAATCATGATAATAGTAAAAAATATAGTAATAATAAAAAAATAATAGTAGGCACTTAATAATAAAAAATTAACAATAGTAACATCAAGTATTTCAATAAACTTAGTATATAAACAGTCACAACAATTATTATATAACATAGAGCAACTAAATCGCGTTGACGTAGAGAGACATAGTATTAAACATTCCCATTTACATTTTTATTCATAAAGTCACTAAAGGAATAGAAACAATTTTCGCAGAGAAATTGCTTCAATTTAACTTTGAATCTTTTTTCAGTCTGTTCAGTCTTTATTTCTCCTGGTAGTCTATTGTAGACCTTTATACATGCATATTGAGGAGACTTCTCAAATAAAGCAGTGCTATGTCGTGGAAGACTAAGTTCGTTGCTTTTCCTGGTAGAATATAGATGATTTTCTCCATTTTTTATAAATCTATCTTTGTTTTTATATACATATATCGCACACTTATATATATAGATGGACGGAAGAGTAAGTAGTTTTTGGTCCTTGAAGGTTGGACTGCAGCTTTCCTGTGGTTTAAGGCCATATATTAACCTTACTATCCGCTTTTGGATGATGAATACTCTACCCACGCCAACAGCTTGTCCCCATAGAATGATATTATAAGACATGTGATGGTAGGCTAGGGCATAGTAAGCTGACAATAGCGCGTGTCTTTCGACGACTTGTCTAAGCTTGAGTAGGGCAAAATAGGCGGAATTGAGTTTGGAGCATACATGATCCACTTGAGTGTGCCATTGAAGTTGTTTGTCAAGATAAGTTCCTAGAAATTTTACAGCTTCGGTTTCCTTGAGCTCAATTTTCGGTTTGGAGTTATAAAAATGTATGGTTACTGTTTTTGAGTTGTTGAGAATAAGCTTATTACTAAAACACCAGGAACTCATATGGTCACAAATTTTATCCAACTTCTTCATCGCTTCTTTTTCGTTATCAGCCGATATAGCTGCAGTTGTATCATCCGCAAACTTAATTGTAAGGCCAGGTAGTTTTAGGTCATTGATGAAGAGCAGAAAAATCAGCGGCGCCAGCACTGAGCCCTGGGTTGCTCCAATATTAACAGAGTGAGTGTCAGACAGATCTTCTCCCAGTCTCACCTGTATTTTTCGCTCTGATAGGAAGGACATTATTAAAGAGAGTGCTTTACCCCGAATTCCAATGGATTCCAATTTTAACCTGACAAAAGCTAAGTCGAGAGAGTCAAATGCTCTGGACAGGTCAAAAAACAATCCAATTACGATTCTGTTTTGTTCCAGTTGTGCGTGGATGTACTCAATAAACTCGTACGCAGCAGTTTCCGTCGATCTTCCAGATCTAAATCCATGTTGTGATGCATCCAAGATTTCAAATCTTTCTAAGAAGTGGGTTATTCTACTGTGTAGTACCTTTTCAAATATTTTTGAAAATACGGATAATATGGATATCGGTCGATAGTTTTCGATATCCGTTGACAGGCCTTTTTTTTGAAAACAGGAACTACGGTAGCTAGTTTTAAGCTGGATGGAAATACTCCCTCAGAGATTTATTTATTGACTAGTACTTCTAAGGGGTGAGACAACTCAGGACAGACCCTCTTTACCACACTGGTATTTATTCCATCAGGGCCACAACTTGTTTTGTTTTTGAGACCTATGATGATGTCGGCAATTTCTGTTGGAGTCACTGGATGGAGGAAGATGGTGTTTTCGACCAGATGCGAGGTGGCGTTGGAAGATTCGAAACAGTGGCACCGAAATGGCTTGATATTTTTATTTCCGCAACATTCGAAAAAAATCTACCAAAGTGGTTTGAGATTTCTTTATCATTTTTGATTAGGGTACCATCGATTTTGAGGTCGATTTTTTTGGAATGCTTAACTCTGCCCAACTCATCATTTACAATGTTCCATATTTCTTTTGTTTTGTTAGATGACTCTATAATCTTTTGCTGATTAAAATTTATTTTCGCCTGTCTAATATTTTGCCTATACTTTTTTCTCTCTTTATTGTAGTCTTCCTGACCTGCCCTAGAGTTCGTTTCCCTTGTTAGATTATAAAGTTGCTTTAACTCTTGCTTTTGATTCTTTAGTTCTTCAGTGATCCAGTGTGTTTTTTTGTCTTTTTTATTATTTATATTAATTCTTTTTACGGGGCATGTGGTATCGTAATGCTATTGGAGTGTTTGTAGAAAATTATCAAATGCGGTTTCCAGTTCTGGCATATGAATATTTTCCCAGGTTTCCAGTTTCAGGTTGTTTTTGAACCTGTTCAAATTGTCATGGCATTTTATTCTGATATTTTTAAATATTGGAGTTATTTCGTTTGCAATCTTTGCTGATAGATTAACTTCAAGTCGCTGTAGAAGATGGTCTGATATGGGCTTGAGATGACTCGCAAGCTAGAATATTCATTGGAATGTTCGTTGCCATGTAGTCGATTGATGATATAGATAATCCGTTTTGTGCAGGAAATATTCGTGTTGGACCTAGACAGTGGTTGGTGAGTTGATGTGAGTCGAACATATCTTGCAATATCTTGTATTTTGGATCCTCTTTTTTCATGCTATTTATATTTAAGTCGCCGCAAAGTATAATGTAGTCGAATTTTTTTGCCATTTCTGACAGTATTGCAGTCATTTGACGAATGAAGATATCCAACTTACCATTTGGTGGTCTATACGCTGCTATTATGGCAGTGGGTGTCGCTCTGATTTTTGTTTGAATAGCACAGCATTCAACCTCCATTTCGATGCTATAATTTTTAATCTCTGGGATAGGTTTTCCCTTTAGCGAGTCTTTGGCGTAGATTGCTGTTCCCCCATGTATATGTACCTTCCTGCAATAGTAGGATAGTAGATTGTATCCCCTGAGGACCAAGTTCACGGCTCCTTCTTCGGCTGACCATGTTTCTGCTATACATAAAAAATCCGTTTTCTGCTCTATTGTTGTTAATTCTAACAGGTTGA